TGTCCGCGCGCCTGATCTCTTATGCATGTGCACACAGGTATTTTTCGTTGTACTGCCTGGTCAGCTTGATTACACATTCATAAAGTCCCCGAGGGACGTTGCCTCGAAGCGTTTATTATTATATGAGCTCTTGTGCGGTGGCAGCGGCGGCGGTGGCTGGTCAACATCACTTGTAAATAACGAAATTCTCTTCGTTAAGGTATCGCACGTGCGCACCGCCGCGGTGAGGAAGGATAGATCCTAGCTCTAGATATAATACCTGCACACAGCCAGGCTATAATGCATATAGGCCAAACTATTTTATTATTATACACATACACATACACACACACACATGCGTGTCGCTGCTACAACACCGAGGGTCTGGATGATAAATGACATTTTGTATACACATCGTCGTCGATGTCGTTGTTCTTCGCGGCCAACAATTTCCCTATTAATTGCGCGCGCGAAGGGTGGTTAAAAAAAACACAGCTCGCCCACCAAAGAAAATATTGAGTTTGTATGTTCGTTAAATTACGCGCAGCCGGGCTAAATTGTTTTTATTGGCATTAAGTTTGTTATCGCCTAACGCGGTCATTCAATTTTAAAAATGTTTTTGCATAAGTGAAAGGCACGCGCGCGCTCGCTGGTCGCCCAACGCGCAGATATAGAACTGATTTATCGTTTAATCTTTTCCGCCGCGTATATCAGAAATTTTCATTCAAATTAAAAAGATAAAACTACGCACTGGGCAGCCAGCGCAACTCTCTTTGCATATTCAATAGCACCGACGCGCGGTAAAAAATCAACTTCTGTAGCATCGACCGACGATAATAATGGCACAACAATGAAAAACGCAACGCGAATATAAATATAAAAAAGTAATTATGCTAACGACGACGATGATGGAAATTAATTTCGCGGTCGCTGCAACGCAAGCTCCGGCAAATATCATCAATTAGTCGCGGGAAAATAATGCTGCTGCCTCAATTTAGCCCAAGAAGAGTATATGAAACATACTTTGCAATTCATTTTTTTTGCGCAGCCCTGCAATTTGCGAGCATAAACACAACAATTACACGCGGATGATTTCATTTCTAGTTGCCGATCCAACGCATAAGTATAATTGTCCACGATAAATCGCCGGGTAAAGCTTTTGGGGAGCTCGCGGATCGAGCTTTAGCTGCATTAGGTAATGAAATCGAATGAGAAAATGTGAGCACGCATTGTTTATGAAGGTACATTATTAGAGCCCACGAAAGGGGGGAATTTGCGTACGACAGAATTAGCACGGCACACGATGTATAGTTGCCATTTCTGTCTCTATTACGTTTTTCCGCGGATCATGCGTTTAATTTTGCACCGCTGAACCAAAATTAGGGCATAGATCGTAGAGCGTATACCCAATATAACCCTACGTATTACTGCGTATTAGGCGGAGTATTTGTGTTCTTCGAGGTCGAATTGAAATGAATGGTCAGAATCAATTAAAATAATTTTAGGACAAATACAAATAACGCAATCAGCAAGAAATGCATCGTTGAAAAAAAATTTCAATTTTACGTAGAGTGAAATATAGACATTAATAAATTGGCAAAGTGATAATAGTTCCATAAGTCCGAACACGGTTTTGAAGGAAAAAATTTTCAACTGTGTTGTTGAGATCTTGATATAAATGAATGTCACTTGCAAAAAAATAACGAGAGAACAATTGAATGAATAAACGACGCATCAGAAATAGATATGAATTCGACCTATTGAGAAAAAAACGACAACCTTAAACTTGAATATCATCGCGATGTCTGTCATTGGAAATGCATTCCGAGCTTGCGAAGAGAATAAAACACGCGAGGCAAATTACACGGAAGCTTCTGCGTCGCCAGGCGCGAAAAGCTCGCGGCGGAGCAAATGGCACGTCTAGTCATCGTCATTTTCACTCACTCAAATTGGTACTCGAGCGATCATCGTTCCCGTATGGCATTACAACTGTTATTCGGTGCGTTGTTGTGGTTCGAGGCACAACAATGGTGCATCGGGCACAGCAGGGGCAGCGGCAGCGCCGGCAGCAGCAACGAAGTTATAATAAAATTAAGCTCGCAACGTGCGGAAGATATGCAGTGCGCAGTGCGCAGTAGCAACAGTAGCACTAATTAAGCAAGTAACGCGATAGCCACATTATGGAATTACTCAATGAAAGGGGAGAGCAGGCGGGGGGTTTCAAGCTAATTTTCATCGCTCGTCGGAGCATTGCCCAACAAGCCATAAAGAGAGAGAGAGTGAGCGAGAGGCATTAAATTCGTATGCGTGAGCTTGCAGTAATAGCAGCGGCAACAGCGGCAGTATAGCAGCAGCGCTGGCATCATCATCGAATTGCCCAAATAGCCGGTATAGTATACAAGCGGCAGAAAGTTTCAATCGCGCATATAAACGCGGGGTGTGTAGATCTGGAAAATGTGTACTATTTATATACGATCATAATGAAAAGATCACAATATAATGTACGAAATAAGCGCGATGACTTTGCAGCTTTATTTAAGCTTATTAAAATTTTCTCGTACGCCCGTACTACTTACCACTACTAAGTTAAAGCCACAAGATAGAATAATCGTTTTCCGTACAGCGACATACATTTATTGCATTGATAATTATTTCTCCTTGTTTACGCGAGCTGGCCAAAAGCTCACTCCCTGTCTTTCTCTTTCTCTCTCTCTCTCTCTCTCTCTCTCTCTGCCTCTCTTGCTCTAGCTCGTAATATATTCGAAAAGAGCACTTGAGAGTAGTATTATTCTCAGCGTCTCTTACTTTTATAATATGATTTTCGTGCATATTCTGCATATCATCCTTTCCTCGTGCTTTCTCTCTGGCCTTCCTCTCTTTCTCTTGTAGCGGTGCTGCATTCGCATTCTCCACCTGAGTTCTGGCTCCAACGCTTTTGCCCCACTATATACATATACGGATAGAATAAATACGACTGAGATAGTCTGTATATATGCACAAGTATCAGAATAACTGTACTAAGCGAAAAGGTTGCCTCTGTCTCTGTCTGTCTGGTTGTTTATGTGAGTATGTGAGTAAGTTTGAATGTGTTGGCGTCTATATACGTATTCGAGAGAAAGAGAGCGCGCGACGTTATTCTGGTCAAGTAGCTTTTTCCTATAATGCACTTTTATAAGAGCACAAGAGAGTGAAAGAGCCAACCTGCACAGTGCCCACACACACACATATAAACACACACATATACTCGCATATAGATACGTACAGCTCGTTCGCGAGGCGGAAATTCGCGAAATTCCACAAAAGCGTTTGGAGCACGTATATATAACCCTCGATCCAGGGTGTTATCCAAAGCTTTAGCTGAGAGAGAGAGGAAACTACAATACGAGCATTATGTAATGTATATATATTTTTCTCTCTCACTCCAACAGAGACGCCTGCATAATGTTATTTTGTTTATATACATATAAATAGATGCATCTAGCCGAGAAAGTGCTCATATATATAATGCATTCGCGTGCAGTGCGTGTCTGAGCTTTTTTTGTGTGCATTCCCCAGTTCTCATCGGATTGTTGCCGTAAGTGTACATCGCGATGTTGTGTTTGTACATGTGTGTGTCTGTGTGTGTGTGCGGTATCGAGTCTCGCGCAAGGCGTATACTTGCGCGCACGCCAGATATATATAAGGGCGCGGAGATGCTCTACAGTTTGCCGCTGTGCTACTGCTCGAAACGAGGGAATAAGAAAATACCAGCGAGTATTTATAAATAAATGTATGCACTCGTGAATTATAAGCAAGTATCCTCGGAATCTTTCCATCTACTCCACGCGCCACGCGCGCGCGCAAGCAGATAGAGAAAACGACTGCGCGGGAGAAATAACTGAACGCGGTAGAACGTATAACGTACTGCGTACAAAAGGGAACGCCAAAGTTTAGATGCGCAGAAAGGAAAAGAGTAAAAAAGAGAGAGAGAGAAAAAAATGAGTACTTATATGCCTGGCGTAGATATAACGATGTATGGATCATTCTTTATTACTTCTCGAGTGGCAGTGTAGCAACGATTCTCCACAAGTACCAAGTACACATTTTACGAGTAGTACGCGAGCATTTGTACCATTGCAGTTTATATACTATATATATGCCCGCGCGATACGAATAAATGAAGATCAAGGCAAAGCTCACGTGATTTCGACACATATCCAAGACGCGATATTTCTTTTATACGATCTTTTACGTATAGGCACACGTATACATATACGTCGAGCATAATCACATTAACTCGCGGGCAACAGTCGCTTACGTTTTCCACTCAGCTACGTTTATTATACGCTTGCGATCGCTGCGCGTGCACTGCACAGTTGTAATAACGCCGCTGCTCGGCCAGAATAATTCCTGACGCGCTGAATTCAAGCCAACCCCCCGTCTCCCTGTTTCGATCCTCGATAGAACTAATAATCACCCGCCCACACACACACTCGCGTTCAAACACCCTGCAGTCAGCAGCACGAGAGTGAGTTGTGTAGTGGCCGCACGTATATGTGCCACAGCATACATAGGCTGCGTTGTTGGCCAGCGAGAGATTTCCGATCGCTACAGCAGCATCGCGTGAAAAGTGCTTTAGAGCAATTGCCTTCGCGCAACTTGGAATAAGAGCAGCCACGAGCTATTTTTTTCTTTTTTTTCTCGTTTTTTTTTTTACCGCTCACGGCACGCTTGATCAACTGCCTTTTGTTTTTTTAACAAAAGCCCGCGCTCGGTGCAGCGACCACTGCCAGAGCTGGCGATGAGCTCGCGAATTCGTTGTTGAAATATAAATCGAGCCCGCTCATTTGTAAATGAATCACAGGCAAAGAGTACGGCAAAAATTTCATTTTGTTGGACGTCTGCACTGTGCTCGTTTAACCAATTACGTTGATAAAAAAGTTAGCCAATCATTCGCTAAAATATGAAAAATTCAATCGCAATCATTATTGTAAAAGATGAAAAATAAATCTAATAATGTTTTTAACTTGAATTCGTTGCAGATAACGTGGATCGACGGCCTGGGCACGGTACTGCAGGAAGGCATCGAGACCCAGCACTTGCAGCACGAGGACGGGCCTTTATACACGGTCAAATCGATCCTGACGGTGACGCCGCGCAAGGAGCACGATAACACCACCTTCACTTGTCAGAGTCAGAATGCGGCTGATCGTACGCCGCAGAATGCCAAGCTGCTCGTCGAGGTAAATACTACTTTGCGTGTGCATGCTATGCGCTACCTCGTCCTCCCTCCCTCCCATCCAGCGCAGCTTATACATATAACACGTAGCCTATAGCCTAGCCCACGTACTAACCAACCCTTTCTCCCTTACCCTCCTCCCGTTTTACTACCCAGCGCTGGGAGCTAATAAACCTTATACATGCATGTGTGGCAGGTAGTATATATATGCACACACGCGCGAGCGCACGTGAATCTTCTCTCTTTTACTCGTCATATATAATATTGTGTGCGAGTACACGTCGATGATTGCCAGCTGGGTTAAAGCAAATTTTGCGCCATATTAATTAGAACAAAGGGCAGTGATGATTTTGCGCGTTTCGCATTTTGACGTTTCGCTGTTTTGCTTGATTATATACGTGGTACGCGTTTAACGCGATACATGGCTCTCTCGAAAAAATTTCATACCTCCCCGGCTAAATTAAAGCAATCGAACAAATTTTGCACGTGTATACTCGGTTTCTCTCGCACAGTGAAACAAAAAACCGCGTCGATATACATGAAAAGTAAAAAAACAAAAAACAGGTAAAAGGAGAGGTGGGTGATGAAAAAAAAAGAGCCAAAACAATTAATAATCATACGGCGCACGTACACTATTAAAATGTAAAAATGAAGCGTGCGCGTGCTCGTGCATGGCTGCTGCTACTGTTGCTGCAGCCCCAACTCCGCGTAGTGTTTGATAAATTCATTCCTGCAAAAATATTTCAACGGACTTGGTGTGTTTGCGCTTTATGTGCATATCATAAAAATTGCGCTCGTCCTGCGAGCCGAGTATACGCGTGTATACGCCATGTCAGCGCGCGACTCTCATTGGTCGCTCTCCTTCGTTGTGCACTCGCTGCACACTGCAGCGCGCAGCAAGCCATGCAATTCAGGCATGCATATAGCCGGCCGCCCGTTAAAGTAATCGAATTTCGTTGAAAAATGGCGTTTACGTGTACGCAACACTTAATCAAACAACGATTTTAATTTCGCGCATTTGCCAGCGGAGAATCAGAAACGGCTAAAATCTATATCTGGTCGATCCGGCCCGCGGTGTAGCAGCCAACTATAGTCCCTCGAGACGAGTCTGAACGCACTCGGTCTGCGTACACACTATACGGCATGGGAAACTATCGCGCGCCGAATCCAACAACAACTGTTATTCAATTACAAAGCAGCCCGGAACACGCGTGTATTGCTGCTGCTGCAGCTATGGTCCTATTTACGCGCGTACTACGCGTGTATTTGGCGCAGTTACGTAAACTCGAGCAATGAAAACTACTCGACTAATAATAAGCCGACTCGCTTCACCCCCTATTCGATGGAGCTACGGAGCGAAATAGCAAAAAAAAAGAAGCAGAGCCAGCCGTAAAATAGAGGCAAAAAAAAGGCGGGCCTGGCTCGGCATACACAGTACAGTACAGTACGCCCCCCACGCGCTCCTCGAAATCTTCATTACGCGTGCACACACGCGCGCTATTTTTTCTTTTATTTTTTTCTATCCGCGAGCGATTTGCATGCCCGCTCGCGCCGAATTCAAGATTTTCCCTTTATATACGGCGTGGCGCAGGAAATAGAGCGAAGTCTCTCTTTCTCTGTCTCGTAGCCACTCGCTCTCTGCGCTATATAGAGCTCCCTCGTAGCCTAGTCTGTTTACCGAAGTTTCCCCGAGCGCGTCAGTGGCAGCAGTCAGGCTGCTGGCGGAGTAGTCAGGGCAGGCAGTGCTGCGCGCAGCCCGTAGGTTGACCCAAACACACGCGTTAAAAAAGCTCGTCTTTCTTTCGGGGGGAAGGGCTTGTTTAGCTCTGCGCGCTCTGTGTGCAAAACACACACACGTCCATTGCACACACACAAGTGTGTGTATGTACAGAATGGCGTATTTATATGGAAGAATAGGGAAGGAAAAAAGAGTCGAGAAATAAAATAAAAGCCTGGGCTATTGCTGTAGCGCGCGCGCGGGTTATGGCTTACGTACAGAGAAGAGAAGAGAGTGAGTTGGTATTCTACTTTGTATTCTTGTGCGCAGGTCCGTTACGCGCCAAAGGTTTCGTTGAAGATTCATCCGGGTCTCGGAGTGAACGAGAGGATACGAGAAGGATCGGAACTACGATTCAAGTGTCGTACAGAAGCCAATCCACCGAAAATGGAGTACAAGTAAGTCCGACTTTTTTCTCTTGTTTTTTCTTCTTTTCTTTCTTTCTTCTTTTTTTTCTGCTGTTTTTTTTCTAAGCATACAGATATCCTGCAAGACTGACGGAGCATACGTGCTGCTCCAGGTCTCTCGCGAGGCTGCACAGAGAGAAGCCCCGAACAAACGAGCACTCGAGCGAGCGTATCGGACGCTTCATTTATCAGAGCTATTGATCATCCAACGGCACGCAAGCCAATTGAAAATCTCGTTAATTTTATTCGTTTGCGCGCGCTTCCGAGGAAATATTTCGCCTCGGAGCTTTTTTCCAAATGCGCACGCGTCGATGTAATAAAATTACTGCGCGCGGCTAGAGCTCGAGCTATAAACGATTCGTCTAGTAATGGTGCGCGCGTTGTTGGTGGCGGGCCGTTAAATACTAATTTTACATTCGCTATATCGATCGCACCGCACCACCGCTCGGACTCTATATTCGCGTATATATAGTCTCGCTGCAACGGAAGCTATTTTTTTTTTCTTTTTGCTTTTCGTTATTTATTTAACCAAACGGTTGCGGCTCGCTGCACCGCTGCTGCTGGTGCTATAACTGGCGCTGCTGCTGGTGCTGCCACTGGTGCAACTACTGCTACTACTACTACTACACATACAGCCTGCAGCGACGGAGGCGTACGAGTGTAAATATGCCGATATTTGCGTATCTTATCTAGTCGGCACGCAACTCTCTCTCTCTCTCGGGCGCGAGCTGATTCATGCGAAAAGGGCGTGCTGCTGTTATTGTGATTTCATCGCGCGACACTGATTATCCTTGAGCAGTAGCAGCCGCAGCTGCACCGCACCGCACTGCACATACGCTGCAACAGTCGCGCTTATCGTTAATAACTTTCGTTCGCTCGTTCTCGTGACTGCGGCATTTTTTCCTTTTTCATTTTTTTTCCTATTTTTTTTCGACTGGCTCGCGCATATAAACTGCAAAGTATATGTCACGTTTATGCGAACAATTTAGCAGGTGATTTATTTAGCTTATGTCGCGGGATATGTACAGTAAACGTAAACCGAGTTTTTCCTTCTATATATGCCCAACTAATGGCCGGCAATTTGATTTCATTTCGTCGCAACAGATGGTTCATCAACGACAAACAAGTCGTCGGGGACTTCACGACGGAGATGGTGATCCACAACGTGACGCGCGACTACCACGACGCCATCGTCAAGTGCGAGGTGACCAACGACGTCGGCAAGAGCGAGGAGACCAAGACGCTCGACGTCACCTGTGAGTATAACTCTGCATAAATTGCACAACATCTACATTACTACTCGTTAGCTCTATATATATATATGCAATATAATATGCAGCCGCGCAGAGAAATCAATGAAAATTACACGCGGCTGCGTTAATGCTCACGCGATAAGCCGTGCTGCGCCGCGCGCGATTTATCTTCCTTAGAGCGAGGCGCCCGGCGTATATTACATTTGCAGAAGGGCGCGCGTGCTGCAGCGCGCGCGCAAAGAGGAATAACTGCGGTCAGCCAAACAAACATTAGCACCGCCGCACACTTATATAGGCGGCCCGAGCACGCCACCCACACACTCGCGCGCGCACACACATACGTACGTACGCGCGTATTCGATCACGGCCCTACGCACAACGTTATAATTAAAGTCGCTGCGTTGCGTTATTGTGTTGTTGAGCCGCGCTGCAATTATAATAACAACAATGCGCTCCTCCCTCCACTGCTCGTGCATCATTGGATTTTGATGAATAATTAACAGATGGCGCACGACTAATATATTTTGCTACGTATTAGCGGCCGCGCGTACACACGTATACTATACTCAATCGGGCGCGAGCACAGCACGGGGCTCTCAGCTCTCTCGGGCTAACTCTCGTCGATTCTACCTCCGATAGGAAATTATTTGGCCGAGATTGCGTGTGCGGGCGTCATCGGGCACGCGCGCGAGATGATCATTTGTACAAATCCTCTCGGCGTGCTGCTGATGCTGCTGATTGAATGCGGCCCTCGCGTACAAACAAGTATCGACGCGCATAGTTATGCTGCAGCGCTCCGCATGCCCAGCTATCTACATGGTAATATTACGATATCAAATAAAGCTACGTCTATATACATATATCGACGCGCCGGCCGATGCAGCCTGTATGCACACTTGAACTAGATACGCGCGTGTCCGTAAACACATGTATATGTAATACGCGGGCGTCGTCGTGCGTATACACAGAGAGATAGAGAGGAAGAGCCTCGAAAAGTGCTAATAAAATTAATGGTCAATTCCGCGAGAGTAGATATAACTGCGAGCGCGCGAGGCATCTATATAAATGATAATCCATTAAACCACGGTTAAAAATCCATTTGCCAGGGCGCAAATGCGAATGAAAGACCCTGTTTCGCGTCGCTGTGTACTTCATTCCGCGCGCGCACTGCCGAGCGCGCAACACTATGGCAACTGGTCGCTTCATTTGCTATTCGAATGCGCGCGCTCCGCTGAATACCCGCAACGAGAGAAAGAGACGAGGACAAAATCCGGAACGACACACTCTTGCCCTATTCATTGCAAAAAGATGTAACAGCATCGAGTTCTATCTCGTGATGCGCATGCGGAATGCTTTCGAGGACATTTGGTTTCGCGAATGCAGGACAGGAAAAGAGCAAACGAGTTAATTATGCACCACGACTTTTTTATTCAACCCTGTTTTTTTTTTGCTTCTTTTTTCCATATTTAATGCGCTCAGATGGACCACAATTCCGGCACTCGCCCGTCTCGGTGCAGTCGCACTACGGGGCGACCGAAGTTTTGCAGTGCGACGTCGACGGCAATCCACAGCCCGACGTTTACTGGACCTTCGAGGACAACAACAGGGTAATGGCTACGTCGTCGAACGTCAGTGTGATCGTCAGGCCCGAGACCGCCGGGCGTTACTACTGCCACGCCAGGGTGCCGGGCTTCCCCGAGCTCACCGGCTCGGCCAACATCTTCATCAGGGCGCCTCCGACCATCGTCTCGCAGAGGACGCAGTACGTTCCCGACGAGGGACTCGTCAAGGTTAGATATACACTACCATTGTTTAGCACTGTATTCACGAGTGATTCGAGGGAATAAATGAACAAGCTCGAACAAAAGATTTCTACGTCGATCGACTTGTCGACGAAATGACGAAAAATTGTTTCGGAGCTAATCACTGTCGCAGCATCGAGCGACTCTTATCGGTTTTAAGCTCTAAAAATCAAAAGCCAAAGCACAAAAAAAAGATGCAAGCCAGCGCGTCCTGCGATGGCCTATTTAGGGCTATTAAAGACCAGTTCAGCGAGAAGTTGGCCGACTGATCGTTAATTATAGCCAGGCTAAATTGTCTTTAAAAGCTCGGTGGGGCCGCGACGAGCGTTTTGCTCCCTGAAAAGAGAGTGACCTCCCTTGACAAATAGTCTTAAATTGCTCTTATTCGGGCTGCACGCCGGAGAATATACGTATACAAGCCCACAAGTACACGTACGTATATGACACGTACACGGAATCGTGCAATTAAAGCTTTTTACAAGCTCTCTGGGTCGAGCTTGAGAGAAGGAACAAAAAAAAAAAAAAAAAAAGAGAGAGAGAAAAAAAGATTGCATTGAAACAAAGTAAATAATTGGAGCGTCATGTGTGTGCTGCAGGTTCAATGCATCGCCATATCGGTGCCCAAAGCCGACTCGGTCATCTGGAATTTCGCCGGCAGGGAGCTGAATTTTTCCTCGAACAATACGCCCTTCTACAGGCACGAGGAGTACGAGCCGGAACGAGTAGTCAGTACGCTGACTCTGTTGGATCCAGCCTCGATCTATTTCGGCGATTACAATTGCACGGTCCGCAACGCCTATGGCAACGACTCGGCCATAATCAAGCTCACGACTCACGGTAAGTTTATCCAGCTGCACGACTATTATACGAGACGGTTCTTGCACGTCCTCTGCTGATCGCTGCACCTATATACATATAATATTATATATATAAAACATCTCTTCTATACATAATTTGTCGAGTCGTATTTTTGCCCCCGACATCGGACCTTAGAAAATCGATCCTTCATTATGGGTATTGGAAGAGAGCCGCCGCCATCGCCGCGCTGGGGCGTCACCGCCAACGCTGCCCCGATGTTTATTTTTAATTTTACGCTTGATAAATCTCGGGGCTCTAGCGATGGCGCGCGCGCGAAAAAGTCTATAGCGCGCGTCATGTAGCTCTTGGCTCTTGAGAGCGCAGCTTTTATGTATGTATATATCGGAGAAATTGCACTTGGCGCGAATTTAATTAAAAGAAAACGCGACGATCGACCCGAGACACGGTTTTTTCTTGTACATCCCCCCGTGCTCGCACGAAGATGTCCTCGCGTCGAATTGACTTTTTATTAGCGCTGTTGATCTTTCATCACTCCTCACTTTTTTTTATTATTCTCTCTGCCTCTGTGTGTGTCTCTCTATCTCATATTTGCTCAACGTAATGGAGCTGGTTTATTGTACGGTTGTAACGAGATTATGATCCTCTTTTTATCGCGCTTACAAATATAGAAACGCGAACGATCGTGAAAACGCATATATTTCTTCTCGCATCAGGCCGAGCGCGTTGTAATTAGATCGGTGCCGTGGCTCAATTTATTTTGCGGCAACGGCGATGAAATGAATTTCGGAATTTTAGCGTAATATTCTATTCCATACAACGAATTTCATTACATATCTCTGATGCACGGCTTTCTCTCTATATATCATACCAGAGCCACAGACGTACATATACGCGCGATATCAAATTATTTCCCATATCTATAGACATGCATTTCCGCACAGACTTCTGCAGGAAAATACCACTGATTATGTGTAAAATCTTTATGTGGGCGCGCGTTTGTGTCGACGTCGAAAATCGTTGCGAAATCACGCGTGTATATATTATGTAATCGATGAGTGAATAGTATAGTAGGGAACAACGATGAGAAGTATAGATACCTGCACGTACGCGGTGTTCTCATATCTCTCTTGTTCATCATCACGCTTTATTTCTCTCTTGAGTGCACTAAACGTTATTAAACGAAGCGTCATGATCAGCTTTGATTCCAGTTAACTGGCAGCTCATCCTCATCGTCGGCGGCCTCGTGGTCTGTCTCGTCATGATCGGCGTCATCGTCGTGCTGATCATGCACTGCCGAGACCGCAGCAGCAAGCAACCGCCGCCCAAAGCCGCCCAGGCCCACGTGCCCGATATGCGTAAGTACATACATTCCAGCCAACTATACATTTAGGAAGAAAAAGCTCACTCGATCACCGATAATGTACAATGATTGCAGGCGAAACGGAGTCGAACGGGGACCGATATCGCGAGAGCGACCGCAGCAGCAATCTGTCGGACGTGAAAGCCGACATAAGAGCGGGCTCGAGCGTGAGCAACGCCGAGAGCGTGACGGCCCTCGACAGCGAGGGCGAGGGCTCGACGCGTGGCATGACGTCTCTGGCTCTCGCCGGGCCCGTGCCCAATCCCATCGGCGGCTTCCGCTACAGCGCCGAGTACACCGAGCCCTCCTTCCCGCCAAAGAGCCACGTAAGTACCTCCAAAGATCTTATATACATATAGTTTATATTATAGTCTGTATACGATGATAGAAGCGATTCAGGATCGGGGAAGGCTATTTGTTGACACTCGCCGCGCCGAAGCCGGCGATTAGCCTTTCAAATCCGTCGGAGGGGAGGGGGGCTAACGGACTTTTCGGATTTGCAATAAATTACTCGGTCGTTGGGCTGGATCCTCGTCGTCATTCGGATAGTGGTGTGCGCGTCGATCGTCATTTGTAATTCTAATAAAGGCCTGTGCAGCCCTACGTGCTGCTGCTGCTGGGGTGTTTCGTGTGTGCGCCTGCAGCGGCGCCAGCCAGAGAGCTGCTGCCGAGCTTTATGAAATTCGAATATGCTCCATCTCTATCTCTCGTTGCGCGCGCGTTGGCAATTTCGAACGGTTAACTTTGTGTCATCATCTTGTCGTAGGCTTGCTTGCGCGCGGCGCACGTTTGTAATATTGAAGCAAACGAGCTTAGCTACCTGCACACGCACACGACGCGATGATGAACGTGCTGCTGCTATATACGCGTCCTCTAGCCATGTACGTACACCTACGTATGTATAGCTTCATCAAAATGTCTCGCAAAGCACCGAGCCGAGTAACGACGCGCCGCGCTACCTACCTACCTACCTACCTACCTAGCGCGCTCCAGCCCATATTGTACGACATATAAACACGTCTCTAATGCGATCCTATATGCGTGTGCGCGCGCGCGTCGCCGCTCGTGCCGTGCATTCTTCATCATCATCAGAGCCATCAACAGCATCAGCTGCAACAGCAACAGCAGCAGCAGCAGCAGCAGCAGCAGCATCATTTCCTTGGCGATAATCACGAGCTTTGTGTTTGGCCTGTGCAGGACGGCAGCAACAACAACGGCTACGTGTCTTACCTGGATTATTCGCGCGACTACATGCCGCCCCAGAGCCAAGTGGCGCCGAGCATGGGGGCGTCGCGCGAGTCCCTCAGCAGACTCGCCATCACGCATCAGGGCTTGCACAACAGCACCAAGAAGATCAATCTCAGCTCGGCTAATTTGGCGCCGAACTCGCCCCAGGGCACGCCCAGTATCGATCCCAGATACTCGGCTAATTACGGCAATCCTTATCTCAGGTAAGAACGCCATACTCTCCATACGCAATATCTGTCTTTGTTGCTCTACGTCTACGTAGCACGCGTTTCATATCCGATTCGCGGAACGTCGCTCTCGAATATGACGATCGAGCGAGTAACTTGGTATTGTACGCGCGTAGGTTCGCCCCTGCGCTGCGGATTGCTCGATTCACGCGCTTGCCAATTTACAATTCGAAATTCGACTCGCGCTCGCGGTGCAATGCACTACGCGCCATGCACACGCGCAACTGCATTAATAAATCAATTATTTTTCTCGTTCGCTCCCTTTCTTGCTGTATTTTTTTTTCCTCTTTTTGTTTTTTCGCAAAATCATCGAGCGTAAAAATAGACCGAGGGGGCTGAAAACGTACGTATACACACGCGCGTACGCGGGGCGCGTTTTCCAGCGTAGCACCCGTTTACAAGTCATTAGCATTCGGGGCCAATAATAACGAGTGAAAAAGAGGACGGGGGACGGGCAGAAAAAAAAGAGAGCGAAAAACAACGGAACTCGCTGCAACGCGAGATTATTAATGCACGTGCATTACACGCGAAATAGCAATCGTCATCAGTGTATTTCTCGGGATTTTTCGGTTGATGAAAGAACCACTGCAGCGCGAACGCGAAGAAGAAAAAAAACACTCGCTACTGCAGCCATAGCGATCGAATGTGTTGTAGACTTGCAGTGTGTGTATCGCGAGCGAATGCGCGTTTTCTCTCTCTCTCTCTCTCTCTCTCGCTCTCTCGCTGGCTTCGTTTGTCTCTATTCACGAATGTGGCGTGCATTTTCCGTTTTCAGAATGTCAGCGGCTGAACAGCTGCGACACGCGCCACATACAGCGATACCGGCAGTCACGCCGGCGCCACCGCCCTATACCCCGGCTATGCGCATGAATAACCTGAATGCACTCAACGGCGGAGCTGGACCTCAGGTAATTTCAACAACATAGACTTACAAAAGCACACACATCCACACACGCACACAATCATCCATGTGCAGCGTATATGTTTCTTATACATGCTTCTACATAATAGAGCTTTGCTGTATACGCACACACACACACATACAGTTACACAACCTTTTTTTTCTTCATCAATTATTATCTACACTTTCGCGGACTGTTTGTGTGTATGTGCACGCGCTTTTTTAAATTTTTTTTCTCGTACTTTTTTGTTCATTTTACTATTAGCTGCTTGCATAATACCAGCAAATCTTTTGAAAATACAACCAGGCGCGTGCGACGCGTAATGCATCCGAAAAAAGCGAATGGAGCAATTTTTTTGTTGAGCTTTTGGGCTGTATTGTTTGTCTTTTGTTTGTTTCTGTTTTTTGTAGTTATTGTAGTTCTATCGTTGTTTACATTTTTGACAATCAATAAATTTTGAATGAAGCTTGGGCACGTACATATCGATTTAAAAATGAGTGAATTATAATTTTTTCCTATTAATTTCAACTCACCGCGGCGGGACATTTTAAGTGCGGGTTTATTGCTGCCTGCAACCGGCTGAAAAAAAAGCTTGTAGCAAATGATTAATTAAGTATTCAACGCTCGGAAACGCATTGTTTCGATTCGTTCTCTTTCTCTCGTGTATGTTACTGGCCGTTGCCGCTGTCGAACAGCCCGGCAGCAGTTGTTTGTCTATTGCGTTTTGCTTTTAAATAATAAATCGAGCTTGTTAATACTCGCGCGCTGGCCGGAGTTTTGTGTTTTATGCACGTGCGTGGTATATAGTAGTACATGTACGGGACGGCATGCGCAAGCATGAATAGTCACGTAAATCGATCGTCTCGCCAAAGCCCACGTAAATATAAATGTATATTGCATGACGTTTTCAGAAGCCCACGAAGCGAAATTTTTTAGAAATTACGTTCATGTGAAGTTATCCGCACATACACACAAGCACGACGCACCTCCCAGAACACGAAACAGAATCCCGCACGTTTAACACGCAGTCGTTATTGTACGTACAGTCGCCCCTGTCAGCGGCGCACTACATCACCGGCGGGCCCAACGGCGGCGTGGCCATGGTCAAGCGGACGGCGGCCCTCACGAGTAAGCAGCCGGGGACGCACGTATGAGGTCGGCTTCACAGTGCCCAGCCAAAGTAGAGCCGCTACGCGATAATCCAGCAGCAGCAACGCCGTCGACGACTCGACTACGACTACGACTACGACAACTACGGCGACGACGTCGTCGACTTGTACTGCTACAACGAGAACGCCCAGAAACAGCTGAGGAGAAAGCAACAGGAGGAGGACGCGGCGCGCACGGCCGTGCTCAAGAGGCGCGCGGCCGAGATCGAGCTTCTGCTGCAGCAGCTGAGGCGCTCGACGGCGCGCAACGCCGAAGCTCTCGGCCAGGTGCAGTTGATACTGCACCAGCTGCGCAAGTCCAGCTGCCAGCACCGCAAGCTCGTGCGGAAGCGCAGCGACGACGCCGTCTGGGACTCGCTGTCCAATATCCCCGCGGCCAGTCTCGACCAGTCCTGCTGTCCCCGCATCCTGTACTATAATCAACAGTACTACCCACAGCAGTATCGCCATCGGGATCAGCAGCAGCAGCCGTGGCTCTGATGTTGGCTCGTCGCAGTGCGTCGTCCAAGGCCCAGTGCGGTTGCTCTTTTCATTCGCGTAAAAGCTCGTCAGGCGAACGTTATAATTTTTAACACAGAGACTTGTACATATATAAATAACACGATATTTATTATACATATGAGTATTTTTTTTCGAATAGATTGTGGTTTTTAGCGTGATTATGTATTTTCGATGTGCGCGTGTATCGAAGCGAGAGAGCAAGCTCAGCGCGGCTTTTCCAACCTACTATATAGAAAGTATATAAATATAAATTATATTATATACGTATAAATATATAATGTGAATAATGCACGAATTATGCACGATCGGCAGCGCTCCCGCGGAGCTTGGCGCTTGTACAGGACCGAGAGTATTCAGGTCAGGATGAGTATACATATTATAAATATTATCCACTTGGAACTGAGAGTAAAAAAACAAGCTGATTTTTTGCGAAATAAATCCATTAAGTCTAAACACATACGCGCGCGGTACGGTTCATAATTGACAATCTCTAATCGACCTACTCTTTTTAACTCGTTAAGATCTTGTTGATAAGTAATACTAATAACTATAATAAACGATAACATAGTACGTATAGATCTAATACGTTGTTGCAGCTTAAAAGTGTTGGCGAGAGGTTTTACGTGAAATATATCTCTTATTTCTGTTGGACTTCGCACATATTGCGTTTTTAAGGATTTAAAATGTAAATAATATATTGTACATAAGGATGACGACCGCATCGTGTTGATGATTGTGCAATTTCCGGCTATATAAATATATACATAAAATATATATATACGAGAACGTGTGAGTGTGATTAGTTGACCAATTTTTAAATGTTAATTAGATTCTGTAATCGTTTGCGAGTGAAGAAAAAAATGTACGAATTGGCGCTTTCAAGTAGTACATGTCAAGATGCGGTCGGCCGCACACAAATAGTCTCCTACCAAAGTACCATCGATTAAAGACATGTATACGTAAGGCATGTTGAAAGAAGTTGTAAACGCACAAAATACTTCTCTTGGAAAAATCAATGAGCTACGGATTTTGATCAAGTCCTTATCTTTTTCTCCTGCATATTTTAGCGTATTGAAATGTATACTTAATTTTCGTCCACGATTTAATCGAATAATAAAAGATTAATGAATAATGAACAGGGAGGAGATAATCTCAGTAGCTTCAGTGCCGGAACCATTGTGCGGATGATCCGGAGCAAGTTTCCACTTGGCCTCTGAAAAGCGCGGTACTTCGCGGACTAAATGATAATAAAAAAAAGAAAAAACTAAAAAAGTATTGTGGTATTGACATGAAATGGGGCGGGGATGATTCTCATCTGTACTTTCTTATTTTTCAAATTTTACTTTGTGCAAAGGAAAAGTTTTCCTCTTACACGACGTATTTGCATTCAATATTAAAGTAATTTATAGGAATTTAAAATTTTTTTGATTTACGAGATAAAATTTATGACCAATGAAAGAATCAAAGTTTTATTTAAAGAATCATTCTAGCCCCGATGTCACAAATATTATTATATATGAGATTTTGTTAAAAATTAAAGTTGGAAATAGCGAGTTATGTATTATAAATTATAGATATTATGAAAGTCGTTAGTTGTACAAATATTTTAAACTTAGAGAGCGAAATGAAATTACTTTTGTTGTCAATAATTAAAAACTTAGAGTTATACATGTTACTGTATATTATCAAAATATTGACAAGAATATGCGGTTCAGATTGTAATCTAAATATCACGTTTCTATTTGGCATGTTTGAGAGTGAGCGGATGTGTGTACATACAAACAAGCAAATTTTGTAATTGAAATAAAGCAAATAATGCTCCTGACTCGGTGTATGCAACTGCTTTTCTGTAAATATTTATATTTTTTACATTACGATCAATCCAAAATATTCCGCGACTAAGTTTCCACTCCTGCCTCCATGTTAGATTGTCAATTTTTGTACATTGTTTCAGATATTAATCAATTTATCTAAATTGTATCAGAGAAGTAGCTTAAGAAAGTCATCTAATTAAACTTATCTTTGAAATTCAACGGCTATCGCAGTATATTCAGCAATAAATGTTTTGGTAAAAAAAGTACATCGGTCTAACCCCTTCGATTTTTTACATAAAAAAATTTCAAGTCAGTCTTCATCGCGCGTGTGTAAAGATGATAGCTTCATTGCACGCCATTCAAGGAATATAAAATTTATGGTAGAATCATATCGCTGCTATTCTTTGGACGGAGTAACGATGAATAGGGTTTTTTTATATGAATTGGTGCGGTGAATAATAGACGCGAGTATAGGTCGAGAAAAAAATACATGTATACGAAGGAAAATACTGAAAAGTGAAAATAATTGATATTGATAACGTAACAGAATATTTATCAATTATTTAGAGAAAAGAGAAAAGCCACGCGATCGAAGTTAATAGCTGAATATTGCTCTTGCAAGTCGATTGTATTGCATAACTGAAAGCCCCGACTGGGAAATGGTAGAGTTAAAAAAAAGTTGATAGTCTGAATGTAAAACAAAATTAATGATATAGTTAGCGCAGACATTTTGATAAACAACCTGTGAATTGACGCGTAATCCTAGTTAAGGAATGTTTTACGGTAATATTGATGCGCCTATTAAAAAAGAACTCTCTAGTTCACGGAAAGGTAAACGAATGTCTTCTAATCCGGTAGCGTAAGATGCGGAACTCGACGTCAACGTGAAAATAACTCAGTACCCTTTTTTTTAGCAACACAAAAGTCGGACAAGTATGCGTACATATATGTATATATATATATATATATACATACGTGCAACGTATAACGGTCGAAAAAAAGGTTGAAAAATCATACGTACGCATTTCTCTTTACTAAAATTCCGTACTCCTGTACTCGTAACGAGTTTGAAAGCCCCGACTCGTCGTTTTTTACTCTTTCTCTCTCCCTCGCTCTCTCCCTCACTTGGAGCTCCGATGTAAAAGGAAGCAAGTGCACACGTGCGTATGTATGCAGAGTGAAAGAGAAAAGTTGATGTAAAAAACTAGAATATAATGATGTTGTTTCGCGATATACGCGCGTGTCGCTTAGCTGACGCCGTGCGCACTCGTGAGAGGGGAAGAGATGCAGCGCGAGCGATTATTTTTTTACTTTATTTTATTTCATTTCATTTTTTTTCTGCAAAATGTGAGATAAAAATGATGAATTCAATTGAAGTATCATTTACGCAACAATTCCTTGCAATCGCAAGAGGAAAACGGGGCTCGTTCAATTTTTACAGTATTATCAACTTGTAAGGGCAATATTAACTAGTACCTTGAATTCGCTCGTTCAATGTCAAAAGAAATAAACTTTTATTCCCCTTTTTGATCAAATATTTAATAATGATGAATACATTTGAAATAATTTAATTAACCAAATTATACGTGAACTGTGATAATGTGGAAATTCATTAATCAAATTAAACTCTGGTTTCATCAGTGTTTTTCGGAGAAGTTAAGAAATAATATTTACAATGCTTAAAAAAGTCGTTCTAACAAAACTGATACTAGCTGAAATTATTTGCCCTTTTATTGAAAAACTCTTCAAGAGTGTACACTAAAAATTTATATGACCCAGAGACGATTTTTACAGAGTCTAATACGCACTAGAATTTAGAACTCAAAGCTAAAATGTTTGGAAATAACTTTAGCCTTTTCTCTTCATGAATTTTTCTCTGGAAATAACGACATGCATTCGCTTGAGATTTAAAAACATTTTCTTAGAAAAAAACTTGAATAATCTAAACTTCTCTTCTCATTTATGTACTTTTACGCATACTGAATGACGAATAATTTACGACTGATAAATCATATTTTATGCTGAAATGACAATTTAAGTACATAACTTGACCTACGTGATTGCATTTAAGAACGATTTGAATTACATATTAAAAAGACTGTTCTCAACCCCTGTTATCTCATAAATAAACATTATCAAAATAAACATGGAACGATGAAACTATCTAAACTTGCGGAAAAAATGCGTCAATTTTCGTAATTGAGAATGTGTAAATTATTGTAATTCAACTAGCCTATGTATAAATATATAAAAGCGATTGTAAAAATACTTTAATTTCTCTCATTATCGGTATTACGAAGAGTAACTTAATTTTTTAATGTAAATAAGTACGATTACGCAAAATGAAGATCAAAGTAGCGTGAATTTTAAAGTAGCAAGATCTCCGTTTTGAACAAAGACATCAAATCTTTTGCACAAAAGTTTTGAAAAAATTTTACGGTTGATTTTTATTAAAATAATATTTAAATATAAATATTTATATGAAAGCAAGCAAGAAGTTTTAAATATTGCTGTCCCTTCTCTGAAGCTATGAAGACAAGCAAATGATTATCTTGTAAATGTGTGCCTGTAGAGCAATTTAGAGAGAGAGAGAGAGAGAGAGAGAGAGAAAGAGAGAGAGAGAGAAAAACATTTTCTAACTTTGTGCAATGTACAGCTGAAAAAATTACAAATGGGTGCTTTTTTGTGCGACGATTTCTTGAAAAAAAAACTTTATCGTACGTTTGCCGAAGAAAAATATAACAAAGCAAACTTGCGACTGCGTATAAAATTTATATCGAATACTTCCAGTTTTCAATTGTAAGTTTATTGCAAAAAAAAAGTCTAACGACAAAAATGTCAAACAAAAAGTATATATTATATCGAGCTATCTTTGATTCTCTCTTTTTACATTTATAAGTGACAGTGTGCCAATGAGAGATGAAAGCTTATTTCATACTTATATCGCCTAAAAAGAAATAAGTCGTCAAATCTGCTTTGTCGATACCCGTAAAAATTTTTCTATCCCTAAAAATTCTACTTATTATTAGGAATCTCATTATAAATATCTCATTCGAGCCTTCTGCTGAGAAGACTGTCATTTTTAGCGGAAAGTTTGAATGAAAAATCTTTTTGTTGCCAAAGAAAATTATCAATTCAAGTTCATTAGGAATACATAATTATTATTGTAATTATTAATATATTTATTATTTAATTTTATACAATCTTTATAATTTTATTTTGTACTCATGTGATGTTATCTACGAAAAAATTAAATTCGCTTCAATTTTGTCATAATTTCAGGTTAGCAACAAACAGTACACCGATTTCCATTAACTCATTTTAATTTAAAACAAAGCTTACTTTTTCCATGATATCTTATCCTTTTGACGATTTAAATGTAACTGTATGAGTGGGTACATTATCATATCAACGCATATTATAATTACGTGCCTTTTTGTATATTTTTTCATTGCGAGCCTAAGCGAGCCACGATATCATTATTATACATCATTATATCATAGCGATTTGTATTACGTGACATTTGTAGATTAAAAAAACTTTTTATCAATATTTTATTACCTTAAGCCGAAGTAATAGCGATATTTATTTTAAATATTTTCCAAGCGAAAAATAATGTATGAAATCTGTTATTATCATTATTATCATTATATTTTTATTTTATTAAATCCTGCCATACTTCTATTGGATTATAAATTCATTGTTTTTGTCTTATACATCCTTATCATTTGTTTTTTTACATTATAAAGGCATTAATCGCGTTTTGAAAATGAAGAGTCAATACTATATACTTACGAGCATTTATAAGCCAAAAAATATAAATATCAATAAGATGTACAAACAACAAAAAAGTCAAATGATACTTATCGAAAAAAGCGCGAGCATTAATTATTCCAATCAAGTATAAAATTCGAAATTTCTTCAACACTAAAGCTGACGACAAAACTTCAATTTCGAACTTTTAATAATTTTCTTCCAAGTCTCACTTGAACGTAAATGCTTTTACGAACCGTACGATAAATTTTTTTTGAATTTATATTCACTCTTTCCACAAACTATACACTTCTTCGCTCGACTACGCGAAAAAACGCTATAGCTTGATACGAAATAAAATTATCGATTTGGCTTGAGATTATAAGAAAAAAAAGAGCTTGTCTTTTTTTCATATACGTACACTATATACTGCGGGTCATTGTACATTCAAAACTCATATCCAGTCGGAATGGTTAGACGAAAGAAGTCTCCGACACTATCGCATACTCAACCTTGATTATGTGCAAAGTAAGTCAAGCACAAAATAGAAAAAAAAGTAACTTTTGACTTTTTACTCAATCCTCATGTCTTCGAATTGCTTGTTAGACAAATTACTTTCATCTTTTTTAATAAAGGTGAAAAAAGGATGTATTTGTTTACAAGACTATTTTCCATATCATCCGAGTAAATACGCATCATTTGCGATGCTGTATCATACCAACGACATATGTGTACCTATGCATGTATTTGGCGATTTTTCTGCGTGTAAGCACATGTGAATGTATCATGTATCGAAACATACACAACCGTGCATATATAGATATTTATGAAAGTTACAAAGCTGACATGCCGATTGTATAATTGAGAATATGCAGAGCGCATAAATTAGGAGCGCGCGGAACTGCGCCAATGCCGCTCTCGGACTCTACATGTATGCATATAAATGCATTAAAGCGGCTACGACACTAATGACAGTGTAAAGAAAAACGAGTTCATATAGAATCGCTTTTATATTTCTTCTTTTTTCGAAGAAATAATGTAGGTTAATCTTTGCGACAATGAGGATGAAATATGTACGGTTCAAGAAATTTGTTCTTCTTTTTTTTCTCACTTCATTGTGTAAATATAGTTTGAAAAGAGGCATAAAATACGATAAGAGTTGATGTACGTAGGCGCAATATAACTCATATACGATGTGTTTTTTTCTGCTGTGCGTGAGGTCTGTGCAATAGAAATTTCGAAAAGCTGTAGATGCGTGAAAAGTAACGATTAAATACATGTATATTAATATGGTGTAAAAGTGATCCTATTGCCGCGTTGCACATTGTTCGTGATTGTTCTATAAATATATAATAAAAAGATCATACACTTCTTGAAAATAAAAATCTACGACTACTTTGAAAAACACACAAACAAACAAAAATGCTATATGTACATAAGAATTTTATATTCCTGCGAAGTTTAATAAAATAAATTATATATAAATATAAAAGTGAAAGGCAACAAAAAAAAATAAACCTATATCAAACGTCTTTGCGAATTATTGACTTTGTAGTGACAAGCTCATTTGTTGTAAATAAACATAATTTTCGAGTTTTTCAATAAAAGTTTTTAAAAATCTCTAATTTTTGGCTTTGAATTCATCAACACTATAAATAATCATTTCAAATTTATTTTATGTGTACTAGAAATATTAAAAGAAAAAGAAATATCAGATGAATTGAAATACATCAAGTTTTACTTTATTTCCTATGAATTACACTCATTACTAACATTTTATTACAACTTGGTACATTGTAAATAATTACAATTTATAACAATTGATCAAATCAATAAGAATCTTGATATTTACAATAAAAAATACAATCCCAGAAATCCAAATGTGGTCAAAGGAATCGATTCCCTTGAATTCCAATAAATATGCAGCATACAACCACAAACTTTGACTGAGAATCCAAGTAACCAATAATGTAATTGTTCTCATGAGACTCATTTTTAAATATGGCAAACATATGGGAAGCAAAGATAGAAACCAGAAAAAGTACTGGGAAGTCATGACAGGATTAAATGTTACCATCGTTATCGCTTGGGTAAAAAATGCAAACGGTAACTTTTCTTTAGTCGAGTAACGAAAAGCTAGAGCTACCAATATTGAAACTTGAGGTAGAAATGTGAGAAATTTTTGTACCAAAGAAGGACCTTCGTTTGCTGAAAGATACAGCATATAAAAGAAAACTGAAAAATTATGCCTCACATCTTTCCTGACTAAATGGTAAATAAAACTTTCATCTAAAAACTTCTTACCATATAGCCCATAGAAAATAGCTGTCAAATCGAGTAAAGTAAGTGCACATGGCACAATCAATTTAAGCTGTTTTTTATTTGGTAAAAATAAGTTCTTTTCTTGGAGATAAATATACATTACTAGACTGAAAGCCAAGGGATAGAGTCTGAAATGAATAGATAATCCATGAACAATTCCTGCCATGACTATATGATCGCTTTGCAATAAATACAAAGTCCATAAAACCAAATAAACTGCAAGTGAATCTGCATTTCCTCTAGTTGATATGACTACTGCTAATGGATTGTACAACCACAGCAGAGCACATAAATTGGCTGTTTGTTGCTTGAAATTTTGTCTAATTAAAAGTTTCCTCATTATCTTGGCTACCAATATATCTACAACTGAGAAAAAAACTTTGCCACAATCTTGATGAATGTAAATGTTTGGTGTCATTAACAAGGCAAGTAATGGTGTATATCGATAAGTATGACGATCATATGGAGATTGTCCTTTGGTAATATACCGTGCTGCATCTGTATATACTTTATAATCCACATCGGTGTATGGAACTTTAAAATATTTATCATGATAGTTTGAGTAAGTGATGAGAATGAGTCTCAATAGAAATGCAATTACGCAATGAATTTGTACTGACACAATACCATTAGGCTGGGCAGTTTTCTTTTTAGCTACTACTTTTGGAGCTTTTGTGCTAACACCCATTACAGCTTGTTTACTCATTTTGAACTTTGGTATTATTATATTTTGGTATTGTGTTGAACAGCTGCTTTCGCAAGACAATTTCTAAAGCTTTCAAATTCCTTTATGCAATCATCTTTTTTTAAATTGCGTTTGCTAATCACACATGCTGCATATGCTGATCCCTGTTTATGACATTGTGCAACCAATATGGGAAATTTTTTCATTCGTTCTTTGGACCGTTTAACAGATTCCATAATTTTATTCTTCTACAGTGTCTACTCTTGCTACTCGTTTTTGCCTTTTAGGTTGTTGGGATTCAGGGAGTCTAAATGCTGAGAAATTTGACTTCAACGCATTTACTTCCTCTTCAGTGTGCGTTAGTGAATAAATGATTGGACCCCACACAAACGAAGTAAAAAATAAGGTTCCAATGGTTATAACAGCTGTAGGGTAACGATATATAAAAGATCTTTCTCTTAAAACTGGTTTTCTCTTAGGCCTCAGTGTTGTCGTAACAGGCTTCATAATCTATTTCATTACTTCCTTCTGCAAAGAAAAGATAAGCACATTCAATAACCAATCACATAGGTGTGGTATAAAAAGATATCTTATTGGAATTCTACCAAACTTACATAATCTACGGTTTTATGTTCATAGGGTTTGGATGTATCGATACCTTCACAAACCACAGATTTAGATGAGATTTTTATACAACACTGTCTCAGTTCTTCAATAACAGCCTCGCATCTAGATGACTGATAAACATTCTCTTAATATAAAAGATAAACAATATGAGTTAGGTTAAATGTGAAATGTATAAACTTAAGGGCAATATACTAACCTTGTAAACACTTTTGAAGTTTGCAAGCTAACTTTTTGCAAGGGTCTTGGGTTGTCATTCAGATGACTAAAATTCAACAATTAACATGACTCATTTGTTGAAATAATTGACAACTCTATCAAGTAGTTTACTTACTTCGCCGCAATCAGCTACAGTAAGAATGAAGGAGAAAAGTTTCTAGCAGTATTTTTTATCGTTGTACCGGCTGCTATATCCAATCGCCGCACAATACAATCTTATCGATAACTAAAAAAGCGAGTTCGATGATCAAATGTTGAATTAACAGTAATCGGTCACGCAATAATGTTAACCTTTGATGATAATTTCTCAATGACTGGTAACACTTGGTAACTTGTCGACACATACGAAGCCGTCACCGACGCCACCGACGCCGCGCGCTGTATCGCTAACTTTGGTTGGTAACAAAGAAAAATTTGCTTAAAAAGGTACGTTTCAATAAAAATGTTGAATGATTATAAAATGCAACAGTTTATGACGTATTTTATAATTATATTTTCTGTTTTTAAATAAATAGAAAATAAATTGATAAATAATTAATTTATCGATTTTGGTGGTAAAATTTCGCTCAAGAGATGGCACTAGCAGTTACGTAAACGAGAAAAATTCGAAGTCGTGACGGGCGGATTGTATTGACAAAACTAATGAATAGTGTGAATGGCATTGTCAGTCACATTATGAATGTACACGTAAAGTAGATAATCTTTGTTCTCTATCTTTTGAGTTTCAGTGATTAACGAATTTTTAATAGACGTGAAGTTCATACACTTCGAATGCTCAAATATACATTTGGTTTCACACTTATTTTCATCTTGTCAATACGATGATCGTTAGAATAGCGGTACAAAAACGACTTAGTCGATAGGTGACAAATTCGTAGAATCTTTTAAAATCCTAAATCACAGAGAATCGTCTATTCTTTGAAATAGTGATTGCAAATCTTTCTTAAAAAATTCATCATCCATCAATCTGTCGATAGAATTGCCAGCAAAGAATTCGAGCACGATGGCTCTTTATTGAAATCTAATGGACAAAATAAACTTTGATTTTTTGCAAAATGTCTCTAAAAGCGGGATGAATAGTTGAAAAAACTCTTCAAATCGAATGTTTATCCAGCCGGCAAAATTTTTCGTCGCAGGGTTCGAAAATCATAAATCGCACATTAGTCCGTCGTCGCGCGTTGTTTTCATAGCCGACAAGAACGGCAAAATTTCTTCTCTCTTTCTCTGTGCCAATGTAAGGAAGAGCGTCTCACAAAAAAAGCCTTTGTACTTTTTACCTGTAGCGTGCATATCTCCTCCGTACAGCGTCAGCAGCAGCAGCAGCAGCATTCGAGATGAACGGTCCAGTTCTCCACTTACATCAGCGGCAGTAGTAGCATATATATAATCATAATACACGCTCACACGCACACACAGTATTGTATCCCCTGCAAAAAAAACAGCCAACATCTGGCTGCACAATGGTAGCCCTGGCATGGTGTGTTGTATGGTGGCGCACCCTCTCGGCCATAGCAGCTGACTTTTGCACTGTAGACTGTAGTCCGCAGAGGAGAGTCCCCCTCCAGCCGGGCTCGAGCCGCCGCGAAAGTGCGAGCGCTCAGAGAGCGCGGGGGAGCAAACTGCTACACTAGTCGACGCGCGCTCGTCGAGCAAGTTAGTTTGAGTTGAGCATGCGGCCGATGAGGATCGGCGTCGATTCGAGTCGGTCAAAAGTAGTAGTAGTAGTATTCGCGACCGACCATCATCCAGCACAACAGCTGCCGCCGCCAGTACACAAGCAGCGACGACGCGGCTCGATAGTAAAAGTGATTGATTCTACGTGCTCTTACAGGCTCGACTTATTGTGACGACATATCAGTGCAAGATTAATACATGTTTGAATAAATAAATAAAGTTCATGGTGTTTAATGCAAAGTTTGAAAATAATTAACGACAAAAGATTTAACGACGACGACCCAAGTGTGCAAAAGTGTGTTAAAAACAGTGCGAACAGTGCATAATCAATAATATAATATAAAAATAAACGCGATTATAAAGTGGCGATGGGTCTAGAGTCGTCGATGACGTGATATCAAAACATTGACAAGCTGGCCCTGTCGATCAGTTGGCTCGCTTAGCAGAGATCAATCTTCACAGAATGCAACGGACAAAATTGTTGAACGGCAGCAGCGGTCTGCTGGCTGTCCTGCTACTGCTGCTGGTCGGTCGTAGTCCCGGGATCGAGGCCTCGTGCCACTGGTCGAGCGAGCCCAACGAGAACCGCACGGCGATATGCAGCCTGAGGACGCTGGATCCCTCGTCGATGGGCGCGCTGTTTCCATCGCTCGACGGCGCCCTCAAGCTGCGACTGAGCTGCAGCAGCGTGCACCACTTCGAGAGCACGGTTAGCGGCGAGAGCTGGCACCGCCTCGGCGGTCTGCACGAGCTCTCGATCGTCGGCTGCAAGCTGCTGCGCATCCCGGCGGCGGCCTTCCAGCCGCTCGGCGAGCTCAAGAGACTGACCATCCAGACGCTCAACGTCGAGTGGGGTGTCACCCGGAGCCTCGAGCTCTCCAGCGAGGCCTTCGCCGGCCTGAGGGAGCTCCAGGTCCTCGAGATCGTCGACAGCAATCTACGCGCACTGCCCAATCAGACTCTCTGCAGCCTCGCCAATCTGCAAGTGCTCAATCTCACCGGCAATCAATTCGGCAATCTCAACGATCTCGGCTTCGCGGGCGGAGCTGCCGCCTCGCGACTAGCCGACTGCCAAGCCGACATTCGCGCCCTCGACCTGTCGAGGAACGAGCTGCGCAGTCTGCCCGAGGACAGCTCCTTGGGTAGTCTGCGACAGCTGCAGGAGCTCATGCTCCAGCACAACTTCATCGACGAGATCTCCACGGAGGCACTGACCGGCCTCACGAGTCTGCGAGTTTTTAACGCCAGCTACAACAATCTCGCCAAACTGCCGCACTCGCTGTTCGCCAGCACGCGCCAGATCCGCGAGGTTCACTTGCAGTTCAATCAGCTGCGAGAGATACCTCCGGGCACGTTCAATCGTCTCGAGCAATTGGTCATACTGAACCTCGCTGGCAACCGTCTTGGCAGCGACTTCGTCAACGAGACTACTTTCGTCGGACTGAATCGTCTCATTGTGCTCGACTTGTCGTATAACGCGCTCAGCCAAATCACCGAATTGATGTTCAAAGATCTCTTCTTCCTGCAAATTCTCGATTTGCGCAACAACACGATCACGCACATACAGAGCAACGCCTTCAAGCCGTTGAACAACCTGCACACGCTCGAGCTGTCGGACAATCAGCTGCACGCCATCGGACCTCAGCTCTTCAACGGGCTGTTCGTCCTCAACAGGTTGACTCTGGCCGGCAACATGATCGCCACGGTCGACCCGGTGGCCTTCCGCAACTGCTCGGACCTCAAGGAGCTCGATCTGAGCGGCAACCAGCTGACCGACGTGCCCGAGGCCCTACGCAACCTGGCCTTCCTCAAGACCCTCGACCTCGGCGAGAATCGCATCAGCGACTTTCAGAACGGCTCGTTTTACAATTTGCATCAGCTCACAGGTCTGCGGCTCATCGGCAATGAGATTGGCAACATAACGCGCGGCATGCTCTGGGATCTGCCGAGTCTGCAGATCCTCAATCTGGCCCGCAACAAGATCCAGCACGTAGAGCGCGACACCTTCGAGCGCAACGGCAAGCTCGAGGCCATCCGGCTGGACGGCAATTTTCTCACGGACATCAACGGTGTCTTCTCGAGCATCGCCAGTCTGCTGCTGCTGAACTTGTCGGAGAATCACATCGAGTGGTTCGATTACGCCTTCATACCGAGCAATCTCAAGTGGCTCGACATCCACGGCAATTTCATCGAGAAGCTCGGCAATTATTACGACATACGCGACCAGAAGGTGCGCACCTTGGATGCCAGTCACAATCGCATCACCGAGCTGTCACCGCGCGCCGTGCCCGACAGCGTCGAGCTGCTCTTCATCAACAACAATTACATCAGCGTCGTGCGGCCCAACACTTTCACCGGCAAGGTCAATCTCACGCGCGTCGACATGTACGCCAACATCATCGAGTCGATGGATCTGACCGCGCTGAGGCTCACCCCCGTGCCCGAGAGCAAACCACTGCCGGAATTTTACATCGGCGGCAATCCCTTCAATTGCAACTGCTCGATGGATTGGCTGCCGGTGATCAACAACATGAGCGCCCTGAGGCAGCATCCGCGAGTGATGGACCTCGACAACGCCATGTGCCGAGTGACCGGGCCTCGCGGCACCACCATCGTGCCGGCCTCGCTCGCCAAGCCCGAGCACTTCCTCTGCCGCTACGAGGCTCACTGCTTCGCTCTGTGCCACTGCTGCGACTTCGACGCCTGCGACTGCGAAATGACCTGCCCGGCCGACTGCAAGTGCTATCACGACCAGACCTGGAACACCAACGTCGTCGACTGCTCGGGTCTGAGCACCCGCGAGATCCCGCGACGCATCCCCATGGACGCGACCGAGGTCTATCTCGACGGCAACGATCTGCGCGAGTTGCAAAATCACGTGTTCATCGGGCGCAAAATCATGCGTGTGCTCTTCGTGAACAACAGCAGAATCGAGTCCATACAGAATCGCACCTTCAACGGCTTGAACAATCTCCAAGTGCTGCACCTCGAAGACAATAAAATTCACGAGCTGCGCGGCTTCGAGTTCGAGCACCTGGTGCACCTGCGCGAGCTCTATTTGCAAAACAACAGAATCGAGTACATCGGCAATCTGACTCTGCTGCCGCTTCGCTCGCTCGAAGTGCTCAGATTGCATGGAAATCTTCTCACGACTTTCCCCGTCTGGCAAGTGGGTCTGAACAGTAGACTGACCGAGCTGTCGTTGAGCAACAATCCGTGGTCGTGTCGCTGCAAATTCATGCAGGAGCTCACCGCCTGGGTGTCGGAAAATGCTCACAAGGTCATCGACATGCAGGACATGTGGTGCAACATCAACGAGGCACGACCGCCCATTCGGCGTCGTCTCAACGTCAACGAGACAGCCTGCTCGGACTATTACGCCCAAGGTGGCGTCATCGAGAGCATCATAGTGTCGGATTACCTGCCGATGGTGGCCGCCACCCTCTCGGCTATTCTGCTGCTGCTCGTGTTGGCCGTGCTCGCGTTCATATTCCGCGAGCCGGTACGCACTTGGGCCTACTCGCGCTACGGGGTGCGTTTCTGGGCCAAGAGCGCGGCCCCCGAGGACAAGGAGCGACTCTACGACGGCTACTTGTGCTACAGTCCCAAGGACGAAGATCTGGTGCTGCACACGATCGCCGCGGAGCTCGAGCACGGCGTCAGTGGTCTGAGGCTGTGTTTGCATCATCGGGACTTGCCGTGCTTGCGAGCGGCCGCCCCGGTGGTGCTCGAAGCCGCCGAGGCCTCGAAACGCGTGCTCATCGTGCTCACGAGGAATTTCCTGCAGACCGAGTGGTCGAGGTTCGAGTTCCGAGCGGCCATGCACGAGGCGCTGCGAAGCAGACGACACGGACAGCTGATGATCGTGCAGGCCGGCCCCGTGCAGGAAGAGGCCGAGGCCGACCTGGAGCTCAGGCCCTACCTGCGCACCGCCGTCATACTGCGCTGGGGCGAGAGAAGATTCTGGGAACGATTGCGATTCGCCATGCCACCCAGCGATCCGCTGAGACGAAAATCGGCCTCTCTCTATCGGCGCAACGTCAACACTTACACATTGGAAGGGCGACCCGGCGAGAAGGGAAGTCCCAGCCTACGTATGGCCGAACACATAGCCGCGGGACACCATCCGCTGTTCAAGGACTCGGGTGAAATCATGGCGACGGCACCGCCGGCCTACTCCACGACGACCATAGGTCACGCACCAAATAACGCCCTCGTAGCGGCTCGAATGGTCGAGGCTGCGGCCTCGGCGGCGACTATGGGCCGCGAACCGAGTCCCAGACTGACCATGAACCGAGCTTATCAAGAGCCCTCGTTGGACGGAACAAACGACGGCAGCAGGCGGCCCCTCTCTGAGCACATATACTCGAGCATCGATTCGGATTATTCGACTCTCGAGCGAAACGCGTGGCGACAGCATCCACAAGGTCACCTGCACCATCATCCAGGCGCAGCAGCGGCGGTGCAGCACCAGCTGCAGCAAGCCCAAAACCAACAACAACACACGACGCCGCAGTCGGGCCAGGCGTACCTCGTCTAGTGTGCGCGCCTCGCCCGATGAACCGTTATCTGGCAGTGGCTTTTCCGGGTGCATGCAGCAGCAGCCGTACGTGCAGCTAGCTACATACGTACGCGTACGAGTCCTATGTACGTGTACCTATATGCGCCGATGTGTGTGCTTGAGTTCGCGTGTGCATGTGCGTGTGTATAGAAAATACAAGCAAAAAGCAACTACGAAGGAGAGGAGAAGAAGCAACGTAGGAGAGTCAGAGAAGCAGACAAGCTACTACCTGGGGCCTCTTCAGCGATCTCGCGCACTTCCTATACATCCCAGCGATGGCCTATGAGTTCTCTACGCGCGAGAAGAAGAAGCAGAAGAAGAATAAGAACATGAAGGAGAAGAAGAAAAAGAAGAAGAAAAAAATGAAATAAGGCCTCGACTGTGCTCTGTGTGTTGTCTTCTGTGCTGTTGCTGCCGTTGTGTTCGAACGGGAGAGACAGAGAGAGTGAGAGAGTGAATATATGCTATGCGTGCGTATCCCTCTGTGTTACATACATATATCTACGTTTCGTAAAAACCGATTCTCTCTCGCTCTCCTCGCGATATACATCTGAATCCGCGATTGTTCTGCCTATATATATATGTGTGTGTGTATGTATCCTACGTATCTGCTTCTTTTTTTCCTTGTCGTGTGCTGCCGCCACCACCGCTATACATAACTGAGAGATGGAGAGAAAATATATAAAGTGAGGAGAGAAAGAGAGATTCTACTTCTCAGGGATATCGAGGGGAAAATTCACGCTGCTACTTATTTCTGTGTGTGCGCAAAGTGTGTCTGTGGAATGTGTTGTTGTCTTATAGCCTCTATGTTATAAAATAGTGCATATTGTGGACTTTTGTGTTGTTACTGCCAGCGATGACGACGACAACGACAACGACATTCGACGCCATGCCAAGCATTTGAACAAAAAGAGGAAGAGAAAAAACATAAATGGACTTTCGCCTAGACCTTAACCATATTATTACTATTATTATCATTACGGTCCATACTATGATATTATAATCATTGCATTTATTTGCGATGTTCTCTCGTATACGATTTTTAAATTTAAAAACAGAGAAAGAGTAACTAAAATTTACCAAGCTTAGACTACGGGAAAATCGCCGACTATGTAAAAAATTATGTTTTTCTCGTTTCGAGTCCTCCATTATTGTTAATTATGATTAATTGTCAATCGATGTCTCGAAAACAAACTGTTTATAAGCGACGGTTTAAACTTAGCAGATGTAGACTGTAATATTTTTTTATTTTATCACTATAGTCTTTTTTTATTTTCTCCGTGTACAGAAGGGTGAAAATGAAAAACAATTTGTAAATTATTTAGCTTGAGTTCGTGTACAAATAGATTATTAATGTGTATTATGAAAATGCGTTCCTTTAGACAAAGATGGAGTCAAGCAGTTGATTTAAAAGTTATAAAAAAAGCAATTTCTGTTCATCGTTCATGTAAAATCGTTCGTTCTGCGCTCGTGTGTTAACGCTCACTTTATGAATTATATTTTTCAAGAAAATCATGTAAACAAATATTTTTACGAAAATATAACAGATGTGTGAAATTGACAAATGGGCCTGCCTCGCCAAAACGACCGAAGCGCGCGCATGCATTGGAAAAAAAGTATAAATATATATTAAAAAAATATATGGTATTTTACGCTCTTGGTTAAATGTCAGTGTGCTATGATCAATGCTTTAAGCGACGAATTATCTAATAATAATTGTTATAATAATTATATAGGCGCGCGCGTACGGAAAGAGCAAAAACTTTCGAATAACGCTTCGCGGTTAACTTTTGACAGCGAGTGTGTGTGTGTGTGTACGCGTATGTTGTGAGCTCGTTCTGTTTATGTGTGTTGTGTATTTGTCCGCATGCAGCCTGCGAGAGAAGCTCGCGAGAGCGTGAACTGGCAGTCTCGACCATGGCGACCATTTCGCGAGCGTGAGCTACCACCGCATGGTGTGCTGCGTGCGAGTCTGCAGGCACAAACAGACGGACACACGCGTTACGCATATGTTATACATTATTACATATTCACACTGCTGTACGTAACTTATTATCGAAAAAGAGCAGAATAGCAAAAAAAAAGAAAAAAAAATAACGATTTTTTCCCCCCTCGGAGATTATTACGCATGTGTGCGTGTGAAAGTGTGGGCGATTGTCTGTGTATACGCGCGCGCGGGAGAGCGGCGAAAAAAAATCAATAAGTTGCGCTTTTATGCTGTTTCGGAATAAAAAAATGAATTAGTGTGAGTGAAAAATGTATGCAGTGTACGAGTGAGTGTCTGTGTCTTGATGGACAACTAGATAGGCAATTTTTTGTAATTTTATATCGACTGCACTGAACAAAAGGCTGTTGTACTATATGTAAATATGTATTTATGAAAAAATTAATCTTTTTCGCCTCGTGTAAGATATATTCTCGAACTTTACTTTTATTCTCGAAAAAAACCAACAACAATGCAAAAAAAATGGTTAAATAAAAACCCGATGTTTGCTAAAAAAATCTTATTATTATTCAATTTATGTGAATAAATTTATAACTTGCGTTATTGTTTCAAAATGAAATTTTACTGTCTTATGATTTTCATCCAGCAAATCCCTGTCCTTCTCTTTGAAATTTTATTTTGCTCCCAAGTACCATGTTTTCTCCTGCTTTCATTGAAATTACAAAGTATGAAAAACATTTAGTCTTATTTTGGAATCAGCTGAACATTAAAAATTCACAATATAAATATTTCCTCGTCGGAAATTCATGAAAAGGGAGACGTCGGCTTGGAAAACAACTCAATAAGTAGAGCGGCCAAGCTATTTTAAACATAAAAGTTTTTGCGCAAAGGAGAAAAAAACTTTAATAGGAGGTAGTACTGCATCAAGCCCCGACAGATTGGCCGCGATACGCGACATTCAGCAGCACCGGACACAAAATAAAAGAGGTAAGAGAACTCACAGGGCAGAGATACGATTGTTTATTGAATAAACAGCCATTAAAGAGATGAGTTGTTTGTGCATCTATATATGCATCATTCGACTACGTATTTACGAGATCTCTCGCTGTTGTTCACTTGAATATCTATATTTATTACATCTAACACAGAAGCGTCCATTGAAAAAGAAAAACATTGAAAAGAGCCAATGGCGCCGGTGTGTGTGTACATCTGTGTAAATGCGAGTTTAAGTGTGTAAGTACATCCGTGTGAGTCAATTCTTCCTCCATCGTATCGTTCATTGGCGCGTAACCAGATACCTTTCACGCACTGCATTGCGTCGATACGAACACACACATAGACATACCCACACAGACACAGTCAATTAACTCATTCACGAGTATCTTAAAGCACACACTAACATACATGCGAACTGCTTGGTTTGAGAGTATATATAGTAACGAGTAAGTTTATTACATACAGATACAACACAACGCAGAGATATAGCACAGCGAAATACTTCTCATCTTTGATTACTTCTTCCATCTCGCCTCTGCATCGACTCTACTTCGATATATAATATGAAGCGCATACGAAGCATCCATCCATCTCGAGAGCGAACTATTTGACCTAGAATCCTCGTCTGATCGATTTATCAGAAGAATAAAAAAATAAAAATTCATCCGATGATATACTTACACGGGCTCGCGTGACTGCAGATCAATACGCAGGCACGCAGAGAGATGCATCGTAGGTATACACATTCGTGCGATGGTCAAGAGCGAATTTAACGGCAATTGACGCGATAAAAAAGTGGCCATTAGATCTAATGGCGAGACGATTTTTCAAATTCACAGGCGCCGCATCGTTGAGTAGGTGCATGCGCGGCACGGCGCGAACTCATTATTACTGGCTCCACGCGCGAATAGTCGATCGCTAGCACACACACACACACACACACACACACTATCGCTCGTGCGAGGCGCAACGCTGCTTACTAGCTAGCTCTCGGGCCTATTACAATGGCAAGTCGCGTGCGAACGATTAATCATCGGTTTCCTAAACCTATATGTATGTATATAACCACTCGAGTAGTCGTCGCTATATAGCATGGAGTAGTAGTAGTGTGTGTGTGTGTGTGTGTGCATGTATACGCGTACCTCACTCGCGAACGATCTCGTTTCCTGCTTCCGACGTGTCATAACAATTTGCCCGCGTGCAGTAGTCGCAGCTCGCTGCACGACGGAGAAGGAGAAGCCCACATAATATTATATGCGGCTATAGCCGATGCAGTTCAAATTTTTACTTTTACATATTATGATAATTATATCGCGCCGAGGCTGATTTTATTATGCACATAATAATATAATATTTTCCTCGAGCTAATTAACATCTTTCTCTCTCTGGCTAGGAATATAAAAAGCTCTCGAACCCTTTTTTCTCTTACTCCATTTTTCCGCGCTTCCGTTCTACATTGTACATAACTATAACTATAGCCATTGCTATGGAGGCAGGGGAGCACGAGGGAGTGAAAAGGGGGAAAGAGAAAAAGCGAAGGCGACCGAGATATCCAATGGGCTTATAGCTCGTGAAAGCTCACTTTCCGTTTCTTTTTTATCATTTTTCTGTTTTATATATACCTATATTCGCACGTACAGCTGCAAGCTCGCGCGCACGTTATGATTTACTCGATGAAATAAGCTGACCCTAGCTTTTGCTGCAATAAGAGTGTGTGAGTGTGTGTCTATGTGCATTTGTCTACGTATACTTGTGCACCGAGTTCGCGAAGGGGTGAAACGAAGGTGGAATATAAAAACAACAACAACAGCAACGAGAGATTATGAACTAGCAACAGTTCTCGCATTAATTTGATTAGACTTTGCGCGCGAGTTGTCGTGCTGTCACTGTCGCCGCTGGCGTTAATTTTATCAAATATACGCAGGCTTTTCTCTCTCCCTCTTTCTGAGGAGGGTATGAGTTACATATTAGCGTGCGCCGCACGTCACGGCAAGCAGCAGCAGTAGAAAATTCTATATAGATTCGAGTTGTTTTTGTTTATATACGAGTGTCAGCCGCCGGCAAGGCATTACGCAACGCTGCGTCTTGGATAAGGAAGAAAAAAATCGCAAAGATACGCCTGTGGCTTTCTTTAGCCGGCACTTTTCATCGCAGCTGAAACGGTGTAACGACCTCCGTTGACTTTTGACTCGATACTACGATATTACACCAACGCGTGTCAAAAAAATCTTTTCTCTTGTAAATCAGGCGTAATCTAACGAGTTACGAGTTATGATTGTGGTGAGGCACACTACTTGCTGCCACGATTTATCGCCCCTACTGAAACTTTGCTTTATCTCGGCCAGATTTCGGTATTATGTATTTTCAGATTGAATTCGAGCAGCCAACGATTGACCTGTCTTACAATTATATCGTAAATTCTGACATACTTGTACACGATATTCCAAAGAAAAAAAAGTTTACGAAACCTGCTGTAGGCTACTGACTCGATCAAATATCGTACTATATGAATGTAGCCGCGAGTTTTTTTTTGATTTGTTCGCGGGCGTCGGCCAACGCTAATGACTGTAAAAAAAAATAGCGGCACTTTACGAGCGCACACGAAAGTAAATAAAGTTACATAAAAGCGATACTTAGTTATACGGGGGTCGAGCGCGCGCATAATTGCTGAATTTTATACGCGTGCAAACGGGAGAGAAAAATTAACGCGACACGCTAGGAAACGCGACGCAACTGTCGGTCGAGAGAGAATGAGGGAGAGAGAGAGAGTATAATTTGACCGAGTTTTCGAGTCCGCGCGACCTGAATACATTTTCTTTACGCCGTTTAAATCGCATTTAATTAAATATTACCTTTTCATAAAACGCCTCAGTTTCGTAATAATCATGGCCTAATCTCGCTCGGTGCACTCGCGCTTGCATGAATCGAATTTATAAATTTTGCACCCATAACGAAGATGAGTTTGTATTTCATAAGCAGCTCGTTGGAGAAATGTTCAATTTCAAATTTGAACATTTCCAAGCTTGGAGCTGGATGATATTCCTTGAGCTCTCTTGCGCTCAACTCTCAGTGTGCTCGTGTGTGCGTATTTATGTGTGTGTGTGTGTGTGTGTGTGTGCTTTGTACACGGAACGCATAGAGAGAGATATTTCCCCACGCAACGATCGTATGTGTGCGCCGCAGCGAGGGTGCAGAAGACGCGTGGGCATTGATCGCCGCGTAGTCTAAGCATTACCTTCATTATTAATGCACCTACGCAGCTAGAGGTTTGCGTGTGCTTTTGTATGCGTGCGTATGTTTACGTGAGCTCATGTGAGGAGAAAACTGAGAACGAGTCTGTGTGCTTGTATGTGTGCGTCTATGTGTGAGTGAGAGAGAATATAATATATAGGTGCACCAAGCCCTAGTACCGAGACCCATGTATATTCTATGCGTATGTACCCAGGCGAGATTCGGAGTTGAGAGAGAGACTTTGTTACTTTGTTTAGAAATTTTACTCGTCGATACTTGGCGCAGCTGAAATTGGATATAAAGCGTGCACCGCAACGTCGTCGTCGTCGAGCATCGATACATACACGTGTGCGCTATGTCAATATTTAAACGAGTCGCGTTCTAATTTTTGTGAGAATAATTTTGTGAGAAAAAAGATAAAAAAGGGTGAAGCGCGACCCGAAGAAAGCCGGAGAAATTCGGTGATGAAAGATGTGGCAGTAGCGTGGCGCTTGTAGCATAGCACCTTTTGCGATATTTAGTATTCCAAAGAGGCGCGCGAAAACTTTGGCACGCGAAACTTTTGCGCGCGCGCGCGTGAAACTTGCAGCTCGTACGCGCGCGCTGCACCGAGCACGCCGGTGTATGATTTATAGATTGTTATAGTTTCTAGCAAGCTTGTTGAAAAAAAAAGACGGTTGCCGTTTTTTTCTCTACCTCTCTCTCGCGCTCGATGCTGCATCGGTGGCGGCACGGGATGTGTACACGCTGTACACACAAAAGCGAAGACGAAAACTTGGGATTTTGCTGGCTGCGGCGTTGACGCTGTGCTGGCCTCGCTGCTCTGCGCCCAAGATAATATAGGACGGTGGCGCTCGCTCGCTCGCGCGCCCGCGTCGTAAATCGTGTTCGTGTATATATAAGTTCGAAAATTGAGATTGATGGATTGGAAGCATCCATCCATGTAAATATAAATTTGCTTCTTTGAAATCTCAAGACAGAGAGAAGAGAGATGGAAACGACGAGTTAGCATTTGTTGACTTGACAAATAAGTATATCCGCGCTGCGAGTATAATTTTAAATATGTTCGTACATATCATGATCATTTATGATAATATACAACAAGAAGAGACGATATTGGGTCAAAAAACTGAAAAGTGTTCGAGCGATTTGGCATGGATCAAGATGGATGAGAGCACGTAATAATCGCATAAAAATTGCGCAGAGCTCGTCCGTCGGTGAGAAAAATTATCCGTGAGACAGTACATCGAGACTCATGAAGAGCAGTTGAAGGGCCTTAAGCATATTACAGATACAGTGTGAACAAAA